TGCGTGGGCGTACTTTGGTTAGCGTGTAAAGAGCCTTAGAAAGTTTGTTTACAAATGCTTTTGTGCCGTTATCAAATGTTATGCCTGAAATGTATGAAAGTAGATCTGTCAAAATGAGTTTGACATCGATTTGTTATGTATTTTCCTCGGATATTCACTAACACACTCTCACATATCGCACACACTAAGATTTTTTTGCCGAGATGGGCACCACCGAGCAGCTCGGCATTTTATTTTGCTGGAAATTCAGCAAAAAATATGTTTGTTAGCTGAGATCTCGGCAAAATTCCCGTTTGTTAGCTGAATCTCGGCAAGTTTTTCACTGAGATCCAGCAAAATAAAATGCCGAGCTGCTCGGTGGTGCCCATCTCGGCGAAAATATCTAAGTGTGCACCAATACAACCGGACGTGAAAATCTCTATAGCGAATTTGTTTATTATCGGGGTTGGAACCAGTTCCAACCCAGTGTGAAACCACAAACGAAGTGACAGACGACTTACTGGCGAAGAAATCCATTTAAATAATGTGGTTCACTGTAATAGAATTTTCTTAGAAGCTTGTGCCATCATCCACCAGATGGGTTAGTTTTTTTTTGTTTTGATTTGAACAAAGTTGATTTTGTGTACAATGATTCTTTGACAGTGTGCAAAGAGTGCGTATCATTTTGTCATTTTTTTTATGCATTTCAGTTTTGAGTAGAGTGAAAGAGATAGAACCAAAATATTCTAGTACATTTGGTGAAAATGCTAGTTCAATCCAATAGTTGTGTTGCCATGTGGTACAATCCAGTAGTAGTGGTGTTGCCATGTGGTACACTGAAAAATTGCAATAGAAGGTTAGTCACCAAAGTTTTCGAGCCGCTCCGTCTGTCACTTCGTTTGTGGTGAAACCGAACTTTTTGTCAGTGCGAACCTCAACCTGAGGTGGGTTTGAAAAACGAACGATTAAACTGACGTTTGTCAGAAAACAAGTAGAGCCGATCTTGATACTCGATCCAGGTTGGAACTGAATAATAAACAAATTCGCTGTAATTCTAACGATGGTAGATAGATGGTAGAAAGAAAGCTCGAAAAGCATTTATTATCCGAAAGAAATATTTGTCATTTTTTTAAAAGCTGCTACGGGGGAAGAAACCTGAAAAGCTACCCGATAGACGTATAATTTAAACTTTTTTTTTTTGTTTCTCAGTTTTCGTTTAGATCTTTTTTAAACTTTTCTAACCTCGTCTGCACAACTAAATTTATAGAAAATACTTTATTCGTTAAATAAAAGCGTTTTTAAAATATTCTCCCATACCTCGCCGTGCAAAACTATGATACCATCAAATATTATAAATTAACAATATGGTTCACTCTTCTAATATCCCCAAGACACGATTTTTCCCGATACTAGCGGCTCTAGTGACGCGAAAGGTGACTAGTACACTGTAAATTGAGCGTAACAAGGCTATCAAAAACAACTCACTGTTGAGTAAAATTTAATCACACGGTAAGAAAAAAATAGTCAAAATTAAGTTTATATCTCAAGCGCCGCCGGGATTTTCTGAGGTAAAAAATTTCTGATCACGAAGGGTGGGTGTGGAAGCTGCTTCCCGGGCGTCGGTAGCATTGGTATTCAGTACGGAAAACAAATCAAGGAAAAAAGTTTATTTCACCCAACTAGGTACTATGTGGGAAGCCAAAAGTAAGTAAAGTCCCATGTACTCAATTAATGATGTTTTGTTGTTTTTGACATCATCCACATCCAGAGGGCCAGTCACTTTCGAATATATGGGAATGGTAGGAAACCATTTGGAAATGCATGAACATTTTCAGTTTTTATTTATTATCGTCTTTATGAGCAGTTTGGCAGTTGTCACAAATGACATCAAGATGCCTAGCCGGAGTAAATTTTGTTCTGAATAGTTTTCAATCCGATAAGTAGGCTTACTCAGATTGGGCTTTTCCGCTTTTTGCGCTGCCGTTCCGCTTCCGCTGTAATTGCGTAATAAAAAACGGAATGAAACGATGCAAAATGGAAAGCAGAATCAAAACAAAACCGCAAATAAGGCTACCAGAAACTCAAATTTCTAATGGTCATAGTGTTACAAGAAGTTCAAAATAATAATAAACCCCGTTAATATGCACGAAGTGTCATTCAGATAAGCGGGGGTCCACAGTATTGTAGGATATTTGGACACCGCAAAAATCTCCCTCTTATACCTGCACCATTCTAAACATGCGATTATAACCATTTCCCCAGAATTTTGGTACATTTTACTCATCGTAATAAAACTGGTTTACTCAGATTCTGCCAACTCCTTACTGCACATAAGAATGGGTACCGTCTAAAGCCCTACAGTAAAAGTATGGACGACTGTCACCACAAAACTGAAAAAAGCTGTTCCAATCGAGCAAAGCGGTGCATTTTGACGGTTCGATTGGAACAACTTTTGACAGACGTCCATACTTTTACTGTAGGGCTTTAGTACCGTCTACCCAGTCTCAGAGTACACAGAAAATGAAACTTACCCAAAGCTTGAGTTTAAGCAACTCAAATTTAAGTAAAACCGCAGTAAACTCAGCACAGAAAATACGATCGACGGAAAACAATCAAGAAAAAAATCTCTGTTAAATCTCTATAGTATTTCGTACTTACGACCACTTTAAATTTCCGACGATTGCACATAAAAACTCTCCATAGTTCAGTCCACAACACTCAACTTTATCGTTTTTGTTTTGAGTTATGAAGGTTTTGACGTATGATAGAGAAAGCTAATACGTAGAGAAACATGTAAAAAAAGCCTACTTACCAAATGTAAACAATGACTTTGAACGATTTCTCATGAGTATTGACTCAATCTACCAAACTGACACCAACATCTGAGAGATAACTTACTCTATCAGATGATATAGTTAGTTTGAGTGGGCATGTTGCAATTTGGGAACAACCGACGTTTAAATGCATGGCATACATTTGGCTTGTACGCCTTTGCACATGTTGCTGCATGGAGAACGAGGTACCCAACACGCTAACTTGAAAGTACCCATCTATAAGTAAAAAAAAAGGTCAATTTTGAAGAAAAGTGACTAAACTAGTTTTAGTAGTTTTTTAACCCATTAATGAGTAAATGTTATCCATTAATGGGTAACAGATACTCATTAATGGGTAAAAATTGCTAATTTAATGGTAAGTCACTTATCTTTAAAATTTATATTTTTCACCCAATAATGGGTACTTTGAAGTTAGTTAAAAATTGAGTTTTCTTTCACTCATCATGTGGCTTTCATGAGGCTAGCTAAAATTAAATAAATTATGAAAACTAAATTTTGAGAAATCCTCATCAATAATCCATTCAGTGAAAATTACCTAACCATCAATTGAATGCAATTGGCGTTCACAGCGACTCTGTAGCTCTTTACTCCTACGTTAAAATCCATAAGTAAACTTCAGACTGTGCGTGAAACATGGCGGACTTCGTGATAGTACGAATAGTACCGGTGGAAACTAACGATTTTAAATTGATTCACTACTTGAATTGCCTATTGGTCCCAAGCAAATCGATTAACGTACCCTATTCTTGTCGAAATTCTAGTACTACACTATGTTTGTTTTGATTCTGTATGGAAGTTTGACAGATAAAATGAGGGGTTCGTGGATTTTCCTATGTTTCGAGGAGTGCATCGATTAGCTTGGGACCGAAGATAGTACCAGAACTGAGCCAAAAAGTTGAGCACATTTTTTCGGGACCTTCTGGTCTTAAAGTTACCTCTATGGTACTATCCTTTCACTTCACTGAAAAATACCTTAAGAAACTGTCAATCATTTCTAGAAGATACCATTTTTCGACGGTGCCGTCAACGCCAATAAAGGAGCACGAACGAAGGCGATGAAGCACACAAAAATGACAGTATCAAAGGCAGCGCAGGTTGCTATGATTTTCATCCAAAAATAAGTTACAATTTCCCAATGGTGAAAACATGACGGTTGAGTACTTATAACTTAAAATCGAATTCATTTTAATTTTTGTTTGTTTTTGAGTGTTTTTTTCTTACCGTGTTTGTTAATCTATTACCCAAAATTGGGTTAACGATTATTACCGTGTTGAAAGTTTTCCTCCTGTCAGTTGCCAATGTGGTATGTAAAGAGGGATGGCAGATATAATTTGCATTTTCTTTTGTTTGTTTGGATTACCTCTAAGCTTATTGTACATTCAAACTATAGCAGATATAACGTTATTTAGGCACTTTTGATATCATATTATATAACGTTATTACGTTATTAATATCAACTATAGTCTGAACGTAGTACAATGTCATGACGTCAGGGTAGGCGTGTAACATGCATGAGAAAGCTAATACTGTTTGCCACACCTTTTATTTGACTAAACGTATGAATTGATTACACGCTTAAATAATAAGGCCACGAATGTTTTTAGTCACCTTTCTCACCGGGAGAGGGTATTACTTATGCGTCTTTTCAGAAATATATGGGAATTCTGGAAGTGAACCATATTGTTAATTTATAATATTTGCTCTAAGCTTATTGTACATTCAAACTATAGCAGATATAACGTTATTTAGGCACTTTTGATATCATATTATATAACGTTATTACGTTATTAATATCAACTATAGTCTGAACGTAGTACAATGTCATGACGTCAGGGTAGGCGTGTAACATGCATGAGAAAGCTAATACTGTTTGCCACACCTTTTATTTGACTAAACGTATGAATTGATTACACGCTTAAATAATAAGGCCACGAATGTTTTTAGTCACCTTTCTCACCGGGAGAGGGTATTACTTATGCGTCTTTTCAGAAATATATGGGAATTCTGGAAGTGAACCATATTGTTAATTTATAATATTTGATACCATCATCATTTTTCTAGTTCTTCTATTTGCCAAAAGTGGCGCTTTATGCTATCGTTAGATTGTCAATACTTGATGCAACAAACCACTATTTTAAAATGAGTAGGATGAGTGTCCATATGTAAGTTTTTATTCTGTAGACATACCTTCCAGCTTCGCTTTGAGGCATTTTGAGCAGTATTTAGAAGAACGATAGCTATAGCAATAAACATTTAATAAAATAAAACACATAAAACAAGTTTTGGAATATTAGTTTGCACATGCACGCACAACCAGCAGAAAATTAACGTTCACGAACAGGCAAACGCGCACATTTGAAACAAGCTGTTTATGAAGTTTAGTGTGAAGCATTCGCTTTTGTCGACTTTCACGGTCGATCAGACCAACTCAAGATTAAGTCGAGTCGGCTCAATTATGGAAAAAGTGGATTTTTTCAAAAGTGTGTAGAATTAACCGGGCTTTTTCCGGAAAAACTTCATAAATAAGTGGAAAATCGATAGAGTTTTCACTCATGGTAATAAGCTCAAACCGATATTATCCTCGAATTAAATTCCGATCAAGAATATCCAGCTGCTTTGACGTCGACATCAGTTAATCAACACGACTCTAAGCAATTATTTGGCAGATCATACATGGGCCGGAATTAAAAGTGAATCTAAGGTGGAGCTACACAGAAAAAAAAAGTTGTTGAATATTACATCCAAACTGCTGCAACCAGGGCAATCCATCGGTTGTGTAATATAACGTTGTACGATATACATCGATTTTGCGAACAAAATTACATCCATTGATGTAATATTGTATCTGCTTTTTGCTATTACATCATTATTTCATACATCAGCTTGAATTTCATTGATCGATATTACATTTTTTTGTGATACCCGTCACCAGTCTTTTATTATACAAAAACCCCTCCATGTATGCGGTGGGTGATAACGTTCACTCACCGCTGTTTTTAGCGAGGTTTTTAGGCTGTCCGTCAATCAATTATGTTGATTTTTTGTATGTGATTACACTAGAAAAATTTAAATGGTTATTTTGCTTAACGATGTGTTCGGGGTATCATCAAAACCATTTGTGGAATAGTTCTGCTAACCGGGTTATCGTTCATTTATGATTTTTTTTAAATGTCTAGTTATCTATAGAAAATCAGCTCAATTGGTTAATGGACAGCCGAGAAATAGCGGTAGATTGACAGTACTACCCACCACATATATGTAAGAGTTACTGTTCTCCAAGACTAAGTAAAATTTTCATGGATTTTCGTCATAATCAATGTTTTTTGTTCCTGATTTTCCACTTCTTTTGCCCGGAAAATTCATCATCCCACATACAGCGGGCTAGTCGCCCACGGCTCGCCCCCGGACCGCTCGGCGGACGGGGCGGACTTGGGCGAGTCGAACCTCGCGGCGCCGCTTGGTCCAATTTTGGTCGCCGGCGCGCCGGGGGCGACCATATTTGCAACATTTGGGCGCCTGAGGCGAAAACGATACCTGTCAAAAAACTGATCGTTTTAGCCGCTTTGGTCGCCCTTTGTCCGCCCCCAGCTGCCCCGGCGCGCTACCCGGCGGCTGTTGTTTGTGCACCACCATTTTCTTTCTTTTTGCGATTTTAATAATAAAAAGTAAATAATGTTGAACCCTTCAAATGACTTTATTTAAAATTCCTTTAAACATACATACAAAAATAATTCTTATAACTAAAATATTTGATTTTTTTGCATATACATATCTTAAAATAACAATAATAACAAACAAACTTACAATCTACCCAAAATCAGACGATATTCCCAGGGATGCCTCATCATTCAGGTTCAGGCCAATCCCGGGTGCCCTGGGGGAAGCATCCAGTAACTGATTGGATTTTATTAGGTTTAACACCATGATGCGACACATCGAATTACATGAGAATTCAATGAATGGTTCAATAGAACTCAAATTTAGTTCCAAGAACCACTTTGGCCACATCCGGACATATTCCGGGTGTCCCGGGGGAAGAAGCCAACATCTAATTAGGGTCAAACCCATCATGCAACACATCGAATTACATGAGAATTCAATGACTAGTTCAATGGAACTCAAATCTAGTTCCAAGAACCACTTTGGCCACATCCGGACATATTCCGGGTGTCCCGGGGGAAGAGGCCAACATCTGATTAGGGTGAAACCCATCATGCGACGCATCAAAATACATGAGAATTCAATTTCTGGTTCAATGGAATTCAAATTTAGTTCCTAGAACCACTTTGGCCACATCTGGACATATTCCGGGTGTCCCGGGGGAAGAGGCCAACATCTGATTAGGGTGAAACCCATCATGCGACACATCAAAATACATGAGAATTCAATTACTGGTTCAATGGAACTTAAATTTAGTTCTTAGAACCACTTTGGCCACATCTGGACATATTCCGGGTGTCCCGGGGGAAGAGGCCAACATCTGATTAGGGCCAAACCCATCATGCGACACATCAAATTACATGAGAATTCAACGACTGGTTTAATGGAACTCAAATCTAGTTCCTAGAACCACTTTGGCCACATCCGGACACATTCCGGGTGTCCCGGGGGAAGAGGCCAACATCTGATTATGGTCAAACCCATCATGCGACTCATCAAAATACATCAGAATTCAATTTCTGGTTCAATGGAACTCAAACCACTACAAGAACCAGAACCAGAACAAGAACCACTTTGGCCACATCCGGACATATTCCGGGTGTCCCGGGGGAACCCGAATAAAAATTTACGTTTGCCTAACGTTTGATGTCTACATCAGCATCGAAATAAAATATATTCCTGGCATCAAACATTAGAAAACATTGCTATTTAGATGTAACGTGAAATAAAATTTTGCTATTCAAATGTTGTTCTGACGTCGAGAATTTTAATCGAATTTTTATTTTTTTAGATGATTTAACGTTCTTCGGGTGTTTTCAACTGTAGATGCTTCCTGATGTTGTCAAATGTACAAGACATTAAAACAAAATGATTTTCGGGTGTTTTCAATTGTACTAAGAACTTATTGTTTTCGGATGTTTTCAAATGTACAAAACATTAAAATCTAACTTTTTCAAATGCTTTCAACCATACAACACATTAGAATTACAAACATGATTTTGTAAACAGTACACACCATTGTTGTTAGATAACGTTATAGAAATGCATACATAATAGTCATAGCTAAAGCTCCCGTTCCCCACCAGTCAGTTAACTGACCTTAGCTAACCTAATATCATTGTAGCAACTCTCTATGCGGCATTGGAACCATGCCATCAGCGCGCTAAGAGTTATTAGACTACTGACATAGGCGCCAATTCGTGGATGACGAGGCACTAGGTGACGTTACAGCGAACTTGACGATTGTTGTATCATTTTTTAACGTACTACCAGACAATGATGCGTAGTGTTTACATGATCAAGTTTCCAACTCTACTACAATCTACAATCTACAATCAACTGGAAATCGATATCCGACGCCATTTTTAAATCAAATATGGGATATATTGCCATATACCGTTGATACCATTGACATCGATATGGGTATTTTTGGAATCGGGGTGACGTGTAGATATAGGAAATTGATATCCGACGCTACTTTGAAATCCAAGGTGGAGGATTCCTGTTGCAGAAAAAGTGTCAAATATCCATAAATATGGATATTTTTAGAATCGGGCTAATGACTAAAGGCCGCTAATCAATATCCGATAAGTTTTTGAAATTAAAGATGGCGGCTTCTGGTTTAAGAAAAATTGGGAATGCTGTCAATTATCTATAAAATGGGTATTTTTGGGATCGGGTGACGTCTAGAGATTGGAAATAGGCATACGACGCCATTTTGAATTCCGAGATCCAAGAAGAGATTGGGAATTACTATCAAATATCAATCAATATGGGATTTTTTTGAAGGTTTTTGGAGGTTGTCGTCTAGAGAAAATCGATATCCGATGCCATTTTGAAATCAAATGTGGCGGCTTCCAGTTTCATAAAAAGTGAAAAATAATTTCAAAAGTCCATAAATATGGGTATTTTTGGAATTTGGGTCACGAATAGAGGCCAAAAATCAATTTTAACATAACTTTAACCAAACATTTACTTCCCAACAAACAATTGCCTATTGAAGAAACGACTTCTTAACTATTTTATATCACTTCATGCTTAATAATACTTGTACTATTTTAAATATTAATGTTCACACAAATCAGAATTTATTCAACTACAACATCTAAGTATTTGGTGTTGAATAAGGTATGTCGAGAAGCTTTTCTTCGACTTACAAAAATTGTAACAGAGCTTATTCGATCAAATTTTTGATTATTCAACGTTAATTAGACATCATTACTTCCTTAAACAGCGATGATATAAAGGTGTATATAGACGCTTGATTATTATGTGAAATAATGTTTCATTAGACACTATTCTACATTTATTAAACGATTATTAAATTACGGGATAATTTAACTTAAACTTAACTTAAAGTTAAGTTAAACTTAACTTAACTTCAACTAAATTTTAACTTAACTTTAAATAAACTTTAACATAACCTTTACTTAACTTTGACTTAATTTTAACTTAACTTAAATTTTAACATAACTTAAACCTAACTTTAACTTAACTTTAACTTAACTTTAAATTTTAACTTAAATTAAACATAACTTTAACATTAACATAACTTTAACTTAAACCGAACATTAACTTAACATATCTTTAACTTAACTTTAACTTAACTTAATTTTAACTTAAATTCAACATAACTTTATCCTAAAATTAACTGAACTTTAACTTTCACTTAACTTTAACTTAACTTTAACTTAATTTTAACTTAACTTAACTCAACTTTAACTCAACTTTAACTCAACTTTAACTCAACTTTAACTTAACTTTAACTCAATTTTAACTTAACTTTAACTTAACTTTAACTCAACTTTAACTTAACTTTAACTTAACTTTAACTTAACTTTAACTTAACATTAACTGAACTTTAACTTAACTTTAACTTAATTTTATTCAACTTTAACTCAACTCTAACTTAACTTTAACTTAACTTTAACTTAACTTTAACTAAACTTTAACTTAATTTTAACTTAACTTAACTTTAACTTAATTTCAACTTAACTTTAACTTAACTTTAACTTAACTTTAACTTAATTTTAACTTAACTTAAACTTAACTTTAACCTAACTTTAACTTAATTTCAACTTAACTTTAACTTAACTTTAACTTCATTCTACCTTAACTTTAACTTAACTTTAACTTAACTTT